ATGGTGGTATGTTTAGTACAATTTGCAGGAAATCATCCTCTAAAATGCCAGGCAGGGTGTTGTCAGGGACTCATGACTGTTGCAAAAATTGTAAGACCAAAGGTTTTGGCTGCTGACTGCAACAGGAGCCAAGCCCTGGAGAAGTGAAGGAGCTGGTGGCAGCAACTGTAAGTGCAGTGGGAGTGTGGCCCCCAGGGAGTTGCTGTACTGTGGAAGACTGCAGAGCACAGCAGATCTAGGGAGAAAAGGCTGCCCACCAAGAAAGTGCCAAACTTCTCTGCCATACCAGGAGTTTAAAAAAAATGAAAGAAAGAAAGAAAGAAAGAAAGAAAGAAAGAAAGAAAGAAAGAAAAAACCCTGATTCAGTGGCCCCACTACCCCTTTACAATGAAGACCAGAGTGGGAACTTAAGAGACAATAAATTAATAACCAGCACACAAGCAATTTGGGGGTTGGGGGCCTGCTTTCGACAATCATTCCTGATGGGACTTGGACCATAAATGACACTGATGGATTCAACAGGTCCAGGTATACAAGGCAGGAGCCCTCCCCAGTGTACTATGACTATGGCTTTGCAATTGGTTTCTAATGTGTTGAATCAAAGTGTTCTGTATCTTCTGTTGCTTAGGGTCCTCTGTAGCACCTGATTCAGATCTATATTTATCTCACAATATGCACTGTCAGATGTGGTTACAGATGTATACTGTGTCAATTATTTCCCATAATTGTAGCTATAATTATCAGTGGATACAATTAAGAACTACAATAGCTTACATCAATATCTGTCCTTTTTCAGTTTTGATTTAGCCAGAGCTGTTGCTCAGGGAACCATATGTGTTGCCAAGGATTAAACTGGGGTTGGCCAGCATAAAAGGTATGTACTTTAACTCTGTACTACCTGTTCCTTAAATACTTTTTTCTCGGTCACATCAGGATTTACTCCTAGCTCTGTGGCCAGAGATAACTTCTGGTGAGTACTCAGCAAGGTACCATACACAGTTCTGGGGATCAAACTGGGGTCAACTGTATCCAAAGCAAAAACTTTCTCCACTGTTCTATCACTCTGGCCAATTTTCACCTCTCTATCTCTCCTCTTCCAACTAGAGATTTTTGTATGCCTGTGGGGTACACACTGATATAAACAAAATAGTTTAAAAAAATTTCTGCCTTCATGTGAAGTTGAAGTTTTAATGGAAAAAAATTAGGAAAAATATTTAAGGAACATTGTGATAATTAAATCTATGTAAGAAAAAGTGTGAGGGGCGAGGATGATTTAAAGTAAAGGTTTCACAAAGGAACTAATACGTAAGTCAAGATCTCATGCTTCTTGGTCTATTCTAGATAGAGGGGACAGCAGGTGAGGAGACCTGACTATGTATTTCAGAAGGTAAGGTGTGGCTCAAACCTGGAGTTCATGTTTCACATGGACGAGGCCTTGAGAAGAAACAGTCAAGAGTAAGAGAAAACCGTTGACAATATATGGCCAGAGAAAGGCAGTATGTGATATGGAGAATGCAAGACAGAATATGTCCAAGAATCATCAATGTGATCATGGGTAAAATATTCAGTGCAGCTCTACATCTTCTCTTGACTGAAAGTACTAGGGTTTTCTATTGAATATCCAAAGCCAACTTGTCCACAGCAATGCCAATTATAATGATCTTACTTTAGCTCTAATTTCTTGAAGTGCCTGAGGAAACAAATATCCACAGACCTTCAAGCATTAGATATTACAGAATTGGTCATTTGTATCTTGCCAACTGATTTTGGGGAGAGTTTATTTGGGGGGCACACCTGGTGATACTCAGGGATTACTCTGGCTCTGTCTGGCTCTGTGCTTGGGGATTATCCTGACAATGTTAGCGGGAGCATATGGAGTGTGAGGATAAACCTGGGTAGGTTGTGTGCAAGGAAAGTGCCTTACCCACTGTACTATCTCTCCAGCCCTTGATTTTTTTAATCCAGAATTTGACAGCAAATAAGTGTTAAATCCTTTAAAACAAATAGCTTGAGGGGCCAGAGAGCTAGTATAGGTAGTAATGCTCTTGTCTCATGGTACCCAAGTACAAACTAGGAATAAACACAGAACAAATAACCAGGAGTAAGCACTGGGCAGTGAAATGGAGAAAAAAAAACAAAACCACCATCAAGGGACAAGGGACCTGGGTCTGAGCTAGTGGGATTGCAGGGTCTAGCCAGGGCTCTGAGACAAACAAACATTATCAAGGAAATAAAGACATTATCAAAGGAAATAATAAAATTTTATTTTTTATTAAAACACCAGTTCCTATAAATAAAGGTTACATTATAAATATGTTTACAAAATACATGTGAAAGCTTTACTGAAATAGAAGTTCATCTACTTTTTACAGTATATTAACTGAAATAAATACTAAATTTTTAAACTTCAAATGTTAACTTACGATGCATTATATAGACAATGTAAAACTTTAAACCCTTCTATCTTAAATTGAAATAAATACTAGATGACAAAGTTCAGCAGTCTTGAGAAAAAAAAATCAACTACTTAAGAATCACCTGACCAAGCCAAATAATTCATTTTGCTATACTTATATTTTTTTAAAATGAAATAGGTGAAAGAGCTGTGGACAGGGTTTGCATACAGAAGGCAGCTCACGGTCCCTGGAGCACAGCAGGAGCAAATCCTGAGGACCAAACTGGGGGGTAGCTCCTGAGCACTAGTATGGGGTATGTTCCCCAAACAAAAAAATAGACAAAAAATTTATTGTGGTTTTGGAGCCAGGGAGACAAGTCAAAAGGCCAGTATGTATGTTTTGCATGCTGGAGGTCCAGCTTCAAACCCTGGCATGGCATGGTCACCCAAGTACCACAAAGAGTAAACTCTGAGCACTTTTATGGGAGTAGACCCTAAGCCCTGTTGGAAAAGGCCAAGAAGCGTGTGTGTGTGTGTGTGTGTGTGTGTGTGTGTGTGTGTGTATAATATTTATAATGGTTTTGCTTGAAAAGTATTATTTCATTGAGTGAGCTAACAAGATAAGGTTATAAGACAATGCTATGATTTAAATTTCCTATAGTCAAATATATTGGGAGAAATTACTTTTGATGAAGATTTCCTAATGTACATTTGAACCATCTTGTGTACTAATAATTATGTTGGTAAGTTCAGAAGGGATTTCCCCACCAATCATGAAATCAGAACCAAAGCAATCTCTCCAGGTCATACACAAAGAATACTCTAATTGCTATTAATATTTTTCAGTCAATGTTCAAAATGCAAAAGTAAAACATTCTGTAACTATTTGAGTTATTCATTTTTGGTGTTTGGGCCTCACCTGTGGTGCTCAGGGCTTGCTCCTGGCTCTGCACTCAGGGATCGCTCCTGGTGCGGCTACAAGGATCATATGGAGTGCCAGGAATCAAACCACAGTTGGCTGAGAGCAAAGCACCTTTCCTGCTGTACTGTCGCTCTGGCCCCTATTTTAATTTCTAAAGCCAGATAGTTTGATTGATTGAAATTTATTTAGAAATATGTAAGGGGCGAGAGGAAAAGAGTATGTGTTCAAAACGAGCTCGAAAAAGTAAGCAAGTAAAGTGAGATAGAGAAATATGCGTTCAAGGAAGAACCCGGGCTTGAGAGAACAAGCTTTAGTTTGTTTTGCATTTTAGGTAACATGATCAGCATAGTGTTATTTTTTTCAATTTTGATATAAGGATACTGCAGTTTCACCACCACCAACGTTAACCAAGATCCTCTATCACTAGCCTTATATTTCCTTTATGCTCCCTCTTCCTCTCTCTCCCTGCCACCGCTTGCAAATGGTTTTGTAATCAAAGGCCAATGCTCTGATTTCTGATTTCAATTTATAATGTTTTTTTTTTGCTATTGTTATTGCTATTTTTGCTATTGTTATTGTTTTAGGGCCATATTCACACAACAATTTTAATTGTATTCTTTGACCTTTTTCTTTAGGGGAAAAAGCTACTGGGGGAGGAATACCCAACAATGCTCAGGGACTACTACTCCCTCTGAGCTCAGGGGATTAAACTCAGGCCTCTTGCATGCAAAGCAAACACTTAGCCCAGTGAACAGTCTATCTGGACCAATAAAATTTAAAATACTGTATTAAATTTCCTTAAATTGAATTTTTATATTTTGGGTCTCCCAAGCAATTCTCAGAGGGTCCAAGAGCCACTTCTGTCAGTACTCAGCCCCCAGGCTGGGCAGTTCAGCTTCATGGAGGGCCTAAGGAGACAGAACTGCTCAGGGCCTGCAGCAGCAGGACCACCAGGGCCACCACCCAGACAGTACATGGGGACCTGCAAGTCATACCTGTTTATGCTAAGGGGAAACACATGATGCCAGAGTTCAAACTGGGTTGGAGAACATACAAAGCCAGCATCCCTAACTACTGAACTATTTCCCCAGCCCCTGCCTTAATTTTTTAAAAAAATCTCTGAGATGGGCCACAGATAGTACAATGGGTAAAGTGCTTGCGTGCAGTCAACCTGGGTTTGATCCCTGGCACCGATGTTTCCCGAACCCTTGCCAGAAGTAACCAGAGCATCACTGAGGCCCCAAAACCAAAAATTAATAGATAAAACTGACTTAGAGTATTGGAGGGGGATTGGGCCACACCTGTCAGTGCCAGAGGAAAACTACTGGTTCTGTGCTGGGAGATTTCAGTGTGTGAGGGACTTTGCAGTTCCAGGAATCGACCCAGAGTTTCCTGTGTGCAAGTCAAGTGCCTTATCCCCTATACTCTCTCTCCAGTTCCTGAGTTAGATGGTCCAAATTATGCTGATGAGTCTAAGAAACATATTTCTGTGATTTTTCCCTAAACTCGAAAGAGTTCTTGGGCTTTCAATTCAAAATAACTTATATTAATGCGTAAAAGTTAGAAAAACATCCGAAAAATGAGAATGACTAAGGAGAGTAGTATAAGGTGAGATTGGCATAGCAGGCCAAGGCCCCATCATGGAGCACTAGGTTGACTGACCTCTGGAAGATCTTGGCTCTCTTTTCTAAGCACCATGAGAAGATTCACTGTGATCCTGCAGTGGTTTAGACTGTAGGAGGGAAGCAAGGTGACACGGAGACTAGATTAGGCTAGGGTGATAGTGGATCTGGTGGAGAAGGTGAGAAAATTATATTCAGGATTTAGTTTTTAAAATATTTTGCTCGAGTGGGCCCAGTAACATCTCCATCGTGAGACTTATTAATCTCAATAAATAGAATTTTAGCATATGCTCCAGTACCTTAGTTCTGCTTCTGCTATCATATTGCCAGTAAAATTCCACGAATCTTTTTAATAATATAAAAGATATTTCTGCTGCTCTTCTCTTTAAAAAAGTCATAGAAAATCTAATTAAAATTAAAAAACAAACTCTCTTTAGTTTCCCCCCCTCAAATCAGATCTTTATTTGGTATCTATATATGTATATATAATATATATCAATATATTTGGTATGTATATATAATACATATCTATGTAAAATTTATGTAACGTAAAGCATTATAATGTTTAGATCTTTTTAATAAAAAACTGTGGGTTTGGAGAGACAGTACAGTGGGCAGGGTGCTTGCCTTGCATGCCGCTGACCTGGGTTCAATTAATAGCACCCCATATAGTCCCCTTAATACAGAGTCAGAAGTAAGCCCTGAACACCACCAGGTGTGACACCAAACCTCAAAATTAAATAAAACTTTTTTAAAAAACCCCTAAGAATGGCAAAGTTTCACAGTAGGCACCATAAACATTATGTACATGATCTATTACTGCCTTTCATAGTGCCCTTAATTTAAAATACTGAATTAGGGGCCAGAGAGAAACTATAGCAGGTAAGTTACTTGGAGAGCAGCTGTAGGCCTAGTTCAAATATCCAGCACCACACATTCTGACCACAGAGCCAGGAATAGTCCTTGAGTCCCCCCAGGTGTATCTCTCTGCCCCTTCCATGAAAATACTGGATTAGATTGTATCAGTGATCTATTTTATTTATTTGGTTTTTGTTTGGGGGCCACACCCGGTGATACTGAGGGATAACCCCTGGCTCTTCACTCAGAAATTACTCCTGGTAATGTTCGGGGGACCGTATGGGATGCTAGGTTCATGAACTCAAGATGGTTGGACATTCAAGGCAAGCACCCTACCCACTGTACTATTTCTCCAGTTCACAGTGATCCATTTTAGCTATAGCAAATTAGTATTATGTAAGATAAAATAAAATTTGTACTCAAAGCTCCTCTGCAGACACAGATGATACATGTTTGCACTGCAACCAGATCACTACAGGCAATGAGGAGGCAAACAAACCACAGTCATAAATATTATATTATCCTTTACAGACAGGTTCTATTTATGACTTCACATCACACTGTTTCATTTAATGGCTAAATACTAATCAGTAACTAGACAAAGAAAATGTATTTAAATAAATGCTTTCATGTGACAAGTAAGGTTTCAAATGATCCCCTCATCTGACCTGGAGACATTGTTTCTGTGTATAAGAGGATTGTCTGCATCATCTGCTTCACAACTAATTGCAAGAAAAGTCTCATTCCTCAAATATACAGATTTGTTCATTATGTACATATCAACTAGATATCCTTTTTCTTTTCAACATGTATATTTAAGAGATACAAACTTCCTTAAATTGAAGTGACAATGATATTTTCAAGAAAGACTACTGAAAAGCTGCTAAACTTAAATCTATCAGAGTAGCACATTAATTCTAGATTAAAAATTTAAGTACATTTTGTTATAAACACAAAGAATGTCTTCAGCAAATCTTATAGATGTATACACAACTCAATGCATAGACCAGCCTTGCCAGAATGGAGTCCTTTTGTTTGTTTGTTTTGGGAGCTACACGAGGCAGTGCTTAAGCACTACTTCAGAAGTATTTGAAGAAACTGTTGTGTTAGGGATTGAACCAGCATGCATCTGAGCTATCTTCCTGGCCACCAATAGGGAGTCTCAGCAAGAAATGAAACCTAGTCAAAGTCTCTGGCCAGAGATATAATTTCAAATAGCTTTAAGCTTTCTAACAACATATCCAAAATTTTTTACAAAACTATAAAATTATGTTTTTTATAATAATAAAATTAAAATAATATTTAAATAATTAAAATTTAAAGAATAATTATATTTATTCTATTCCATGAAATTATGTTCTCTAGTAGAAGACTAAACAATAGATTATTAATCTTATCACTGAAAAAATATCTCTGTGCCCAGGGGCCACACCTGATGGAACTAGGAAAAGGTGGCTAGAGATGCCAATTCTGAAATTACAACCATTCATCATCTTCTAGAATGGTACCAGGAACTGAACTACTTTCAAGCTGTGGCAGCATGCAAGGCAAATGCTTTAATGGCTAAACAACCTCTTTCCCATTAATCTTTTTTTTTTTTGAAAGTTGAGTAACACTCACCGATACTTCTGGCTCTGCACCCAGGAATTACTCCTGGTGGAGCACCAGGGACCATATGAGATGCTGGGGATCAAATCTGGGTTGGCAGCATGCAAGGCAACCACCATACCCACTGTATGATTGCTCCAGCCCCTGGCCCATTAATTAAAAAAAAAATTATCTTAAATTATTTACAAAGAAATTCACTTTCCTCTGAGGTCAAGGTGTACTTCAAGTTTTAATAGTTGCTGTAAAGGAAAAATCGTAACTCTTCACCAACTAAATATTTTTAGGCCCTAAAGTGTAAACTTTTGCTCACTTAGAAAACTTATTGGTAATATGTTGTCATTTTTTCCTTAGCAAATCAAAGAAACATTTAGTCACATTATAAAAAACAAAGAAAATATAATTTTAAAAGAATTTTATATACTTGCTCAGATCAAATGTTCTTCTTTTCTACTTGAAAAAAAGGTAAGAATAAAGGGAATTCTTCCTCTGGCCCTCTTGGAGAGCCCAGTAAGCTACTGAAGAGTATCCCGCCTGCATGGCAAAGCCTGCAAGCTATCTGTGACATATTCGATATGCCAAAACACAGTAACAAGAAGTGTCACAATGGAGACGTTACTGGGACCGCTCGAACTAATCAGTAAACAACGGGAGGACAGTGCTACAGTGCTCCTCTCTAAAAAGGGGAAGGTGGCTAACGATGCTAATTCTGAAATTATGGTCACTCATCATCTTCGAGAAACAATCTTCGAGAAACATTCACGAGAATGTTTCTTGTGAACCACTGCATCCTTCTAACTCCATTATACTCTCACACTCATTGTTCTCTTTGCCCTCTTGATATGCACGAAGCTGCTCCATGAAACCAGCATTTGGACAAATGGAAGGTCTTGCATTTTTTACCAAAGAAAAGGCGCTGGTGAATGAGATTTCTTCTGAATCCATTAGGAAACCTATGACAATGGCTGCAGCCCTGGAAACTCCTGCATTACAATGAACAAAAACCACTCCATCCTGTAACAAGAGCAAACAAAAATCTTCAGTATGTTAGAAAATGGCAATTTCATTGTCTTATACTACTTAAAAGCAACAAATAAAAATATATAATCAAATTATAAGCAATTAATGGAAAATATCAGCTAATCTATTAATGAACACCTTCTCTTCCTTCCATTGTTTATTTGAAATTTTGAAATAGAAAGAACATATTTTACTAAATGGGTAATCTATAAAAGTACACATAATAACCTAATAACTTAGTGGCTACGTGTATATTAATAAAAGACAAATCACATAAATATATATAAAAACACAAAGCCTTAATAATTAACTAGAGAGTCTGAGACATGCAACATCTATATAGTATTCCCATAAGAGATCATCATTGGTATTAGACCAGAGTACCTATGCGAGACCTGTTTGATCCCTGACCCCACATGATCCCTGAGCATTGAGCTACAAGTGGTTCCCTAGTGGGGGTGGCCAAAAAAAAAAAACACCAAAAAACAAAAACCCAAGAACAAAACAAAACCCAGAAACTAAAATAAAACAAATTAAAAAATTGGTTGAGTTTAGGAAGCTGTAAAGTGATGACACAAATAGTTCAAGATAATGTGAAGCAGAAAAGGTAATCAGACACCAGTGTGAGGCCAGTAAGTGAAAGAGGTTTCAGGTTAACTTGTAAAGGATCCTTCTCAAGTGAAAAGGAACACAGCACATGGTCAGTGCTGATAAAGGCAATACTGCATTAATAATCAGCGTGATAGAGCCAATGGAACAGGTTGGTTTATCTCAGAAGTTTTAAAAATTAATGATCTAAATGAAATGTAGTGAACTGTGAACACAACCCACATAATTAGACATTCTTTTTCTGATTCTTCTTTTGAAACACCAAAATAGAGAAAGAGGGGAACAGGATAAGGAGGAAATCCCTGCCTAAAGCAAACATTAAAATTCATTAAGTTTTACTTTCACATGGCAAGTTTTTAGTTCTTTGGGGGGAGGAGGCAGGAAGGGCACACCAGGTTGTGCTCAAGCTTAACTCCTGACTGTGCCCTGAGGTCATTCCTGATGTACTCAGGGGATCATAAGTAGTGACAGTTTAAACCTGGGTCAGCCCTGTGCAAGACAAGTACCTAAGATTGTACTATCTCCATCCCTTGTGTGACAGTTTTATCACATAACTTTTTTTTTTTTGGAGTTTTTTTGGCCACACTCAGTGGTACACAGGGCATTCTCCTAGCTCTGTGCTCAGGGATCACTGTTGGCAGTGCTCAGGGGACCACATATCGTGTGAAGGATTGAACCTGGGCCTGCCACATGGAAGGCAAGTCCCTTAACTCCTGTACTGCCTGTCTGGCCCAGTAATTCCTTTCCTATACCTGTTATAAGAAATTTGCAGGTGTATTCGATTTCAAGAAAACCAGATGATTGATAGCCAAAGTTGTTTATATTTTGAAAATTCTCATGAAAAAAAAGTCTTTTTATTTTATTATACATAGTTAGGACTCATTTCCAAATTTTCCCATACAGGGAATGCAAATCAGAAATAGTTACTCTATATATGCTTTTCACACTCTACATATGCTTTTCACATTCTTCAATGGCTCACTTTTGTGAGAAATAAAATATTTTAGCCTACTGGTGCTTATCACAGGTAGTACTCTTTACACTGACTGTAGAGAAAGAGGAGGAAAACCCACCCTACATATACCTGGGTCTTTTGCCTGGTCTGTACTGTGAATGGAAGGACATGGGGTGGGGGCGGCACAGAGAGGAAGGCATTTTCAAACATCATGGTAACTGGTGGAAAACAAAAAGGCTTTTTCCAGATTCAGAAGAGATATTAAGAGGATAGGAGGGGGGAAAGGGAAAAGGACAGGAGTCCATGGTATATAAGGGGGCAGGGGTCTCCTAAGCAGGATTCTGCAATAAAACTGTTAAAGAACTACCCAACTGCCCCCCCCCCCCCCCTTTTCTCTTTCTGGTTTACGGCCACACCTCACAATGCTCAAGGGTTACTCCCAGGTTTATATTCAGGAGTTACTCCTGGCAGTGAACAGAGGAACATACGGGATGCCAAGGACTGAACCCAGATCAGCCGCATGCAAGGCAAATGCCCTACCTGCTGTGCTATTGCTCTAACCCCTAATAAACTCTTTTCAGCCACACTAGTACTGCTCAGCACTTCTGACTATGTATTCCGGGATCACTCCTGGTGGTCCTCTTGAGGCCACATGTGGTATGGGGGATGGACCTTGGTGTCAGCTGTATACAAGGCAAGTGCCTTACCCCTGTATTGTATCTCCAGTCCTTGATGACATTTTCAGTATTTCCTGGTTACAAACTAGTTATCTCTGTTTTATGACCCAGAAAAAGACTTTGGAAATGAGGCTAGCTTTATTTTCATATTCATATGTGCTGTAGATGCAGTTATAGTTAATTTTTTCATGTTAGTACTCCCTCTTGCATTTTTTAATGTAAAGACTGCCTGGAATTTACCTATTCATGTTTTTATTATTCATTATGTATCATACTATCCTGGAAAGTATTTGAAGAATGGTTATTGGTTATATATTCCCTTGCCAGAACTTAAAATGAAATAATTAAATAATTCATAAAGCAATTTGTTCTTGTGTACGTCTGTGTGCTGCCTAGAAGCCTTTGCTCCTCTTCTTGGTCCTCGGTGGTTTCTGGTGTGAGCAGCCTGCCTCTCTGGGAAGCAGATGAGAACAAGGCTGTGGTAATTATCTTTGCGTGTCTGCTATGAGTGCAATTCTTGGCACAAACTATTCCACAGAATTTTGCTAAATGAATAAACTAAACTTGTTCTGCATTTCTTTTTTTCAAAAAAAAAGTCAAGCCATGATTTCAGTTGGGCAGACTAGTCATATCACTGTACTTTTATAGAGTTCATTTTGTTTTCTTGCTATTATGAACAGTTTTTTCTTTGGGGGGAAGTAGTATTTAGGCCACACCTGGTAGCGCTCAGAGCTTTTCCCTAACTCTGCATTCAGAGATCAATCCTGGCAGGCTCAGGCAACATCTAGAGTGCCAGGGACTGAACCCAGGTCGGCCACAGTCAAGGCAAATGCCCGACATGCAGTACTGCTCGCCCTGGGCCCCTCAGGGCTTATTCTGACTCTTGGCTTATTCCTGGCTCTGTGCTCAGAGATTACTCCTAGCAGTGTTTGGGGAACTGTATGGGGTGCACTGTGGTTGCTGCCTCCACTCCCATCCACCCCCAAAAGAAACATGTAAATTCAGAAATTCGGTTTCTAAAAAACTAATGCTTATAGAGAAGTTTCTCAAAATGTGAATGCTACTGGGGCCAGAGTGAAAGTACAGCAGGGCAGGTGTTTGCCCGCATGCAGCAGACCCAGGTTTGATCTCCAGCGTCCCACATGGTCCCCCAACCGCTGCAGGAGAGATCCCGGAATGCAGAACCAGAAGTAACCCCCAAGCATCACTGGGTATGGCCCCCCGAACAAAACAAAACAAAAACTGAGTGATACTGTCCCCTAGAGGGACATTAAAGCAATGGGGGAGTAGCCAATGGGGCAACAGCCTTAGGTGCTACTGGGGATGGGGTTGAAGAAAAGGTACTACTAATTCACTTAAAGAAGGTCGATATCCAGGGTCGGCACTGAGTGATTTTTTTCCCCCCTGAAAAGAGAGCGATAGGCCAGATAAGTATGAGAACCTCTGACTAAGATACTTTCCTCTCAAGTATATTTCTGTGCCTTCCAACATAGGCCAAACAAATTATGACAAGACGACAGAGACAGTGGGAGAGAAATAGAGAAACCACAACATTTTATAAGTATAGAGAAAAATGGAGAAATATATGAAGAAATGGTCCATTTGACAGCTGCACTAGAAAAAAATTAAAAAATTCAAGAATTCTATACCCCAGACTAAACATTTATTAATCTATGCCAAAGAGCATTGCAAGGCAAGGAAATATTGGTTGAGTTAACGAAACCAGTCTTGGGGCTGGAGCAATAGTACAGCAGGCAGGGTGCTTATCTTGCATGTGGCTGACCCAGCTTCGATCCCTGGCATTCCATATGATCCATCGAGCCCACCAGGAATAATTCCTGAGTATAGAGCAGGACTAACCCAGCTGTGGCCCCAAAGCAAAAACAGCCAAAATATTTTTTAAAAAAAAGATCCCAGACTTCAAAAATTAGAAGATATTTAGAATTATAATACCATTTATAATGAAAACAAACACCTCAGATTCTTCTGGTGTCATCAGCCCTACCTTTTTAAGGAATCACTGTATCACAGTCATCCCATTAGTTGTCGAATTACTCAAGCAGGCACCAGTAACGTCTCTATTTCTCCCAGCCCTGAGATTTTAGCAGTCTCTTCTTACTCGTCTTTTTTTAAAGAAATATGATTCAAAATAAAATTTACCTTCATTTTTGCTTGTTTGATAAATTTAAAACATTCTGGAAAATAAGAAAGTATATTGGTTTCAGGCAAGTCCAGTATAGAGATGTTTTTATATGTAAAGTCACTGAGGAATATATTTTCAACTCCACATGCAACATTAAGAATATGAGTCACCTAAAAGAGAAAAAAAAAGGATGATTTTTTAAAATTCCCATATATTAAGCTAATTAAAAAAGAGAGTGGAATATTGAGATCTATAGCCCCACTACCAAGTGAAAAGAATGAGAGTATATATGTGGAAACAAGTCATACTGCCAGTGGAAAAGAGGAGCTATGTTGAATTCTTCAATTCTCTGGCTCAGTCAGTCTGGGTCCCAGTGGACCTACATCATCATACATACTATTTCTATGCTCAGATATGTGCCATAGTCCTACATCACTATACATACTTCCATTATACACACTCCGTGCTCCATTGTCTACATAAACTCTGCATGTTCATAGTTCTGCATCACTGTAATACACCCATTATACACTCTCTTTGCTCTATACTCCTACATCATTATACAACTTTCTTTTCATGTTCATATGCTATCTATGGTTCAACAGATTAGAACACTTAGGGAGACTCATGGAAGAGTTATGAGCCATTTATTAACCTAACTACCTTGTGGAACAAAGACAACTGGAAAAAAAGTCTCAAGTTATCTACTCACAGCCACTTTTTTTTTTCCTTTTGGGCCACACCAATGCATTTTTGCCAATTAAAAAATTTTATTATTAATTTTCATTTACACCTCAATATGAATTTTAAACCTGTTCCACTTGTGTTTAAAATTGATCTAGGAGAATTTCTGTTAGGAAATACAAAATTATGCTATTTTTTAAAAGCATAAAGGCTTTTTTTACTATTTGTAATGACAGAGGCATTAAATAGTTAAGAGATTTTTTTTTTTATTGAAGTCATTTCCTATTGTGGTTTCTTCCTCCTGAAGAATTAATATACCCTTATACAATTCCAGGCCAGCATTTCCCTCATAAGTAGGAATCTACTTTTTTAAAAAGGGGGGGGGAGGAGGGGAGTCAAGCTTCACACAAGTAAGCAAAGCAAATTTGCAAATCAACAAGTTAGTAGTTATATTCCTAGACAAATCATTTGCCAGTGTAGTCACATAAAAGTTTTAGCCTCAATCTATTTTTTTGGTTTTTGAACTTTTGGGTCACACCTGGTGATGCTCAGGGGTTACTCCTGGCTCTGCACTCATGAATTACTCCTGGTGGTGCATGGATGGACCATGGGATGCTGAGGATCGAACCTGGGTAGGTCACTTGCAAACACCCTACCTACCCTCTGTGCTATCACTCCAGCCCCCTCAGTTTATTTATTTATTTTGCTTTTTGAGTCACACTCGGTGATGCACAGGGGTTACTCCTGGCTCATGCACTCAGGAATTACTCCTGGCAGTACTCGGGGAACCATATGGGATGCTGGGAATCGAACCTGGGTCGACCGTGTGCAAGACAAACACTGTTCGCTGTGCTATCACTCCAGCCCCAAGCCCCCTCAGTTCAGACCCCATTGTTTTTCAGACTTGTGGGCAACAATGGTAAGCAGGAAGGGATCTCTAATCCTGGAGATGTTTGCTAACTAATAAACAAAGGAAAGATTCATTTCCTACAAAGTAGAGACTGAGCACTATGGGAGAGACGTGCTGTGGGTCCAGGAGGGAGAACAAGATTACTGAATGTGGAACCACCACCCTCACTCCAAAGCTTCTTACAAGCTAGTCTCTCAGCCTATCATGCCTTCCCAGACCCATGTGTAGCCAACTGTATCCTACAGTCTCAGCTGAACTGGAAATGCCCTCAGAAAGGCTTGATTTGGCTCACTTTGCTCCAACATATCTTCTCACTGTTTTGTTTCCATTTTTTTTCTTTCAGAGAATTCATTCTCATCTGAAAGTATTGTGTGTGAAGAAGGACCACATTCCTACTGGGTCATTTCTCTATCTGCTACATTTTAGAGGGCCTAGCTGTCCTGGCGAATGACAAGTTTGCAGCATTTTTCTCTCCTTTCCCCCATTTTTATTGAGGTTCTCGGATTTACAGTACTGTTAATGGCAGTTTCACGCATACCTCATTCCAACGCCAAATTATTTTCCTTCACCAGTGTCCCAGAGACCCCTCCAAGCCACCCCACTACCCAGATAGTACAGTTCTATAAACGCTGCAGTTCTGATGCCATCGTGCTTTTGTTTTTTGTTTTTGTGTGTTTTTTGGTTTTTGAGTCACACCTGGCGATGCACAGGGTTCACTCCTGGCTCTGCACTCAGGAATTACTCCTGGCGGTGCTCAGGGGACCATATGGGATGCTGGGAACCGAATCCGGGTTGGCCACGTGCAAGGCAAATGCCCTACCTGCTGTGATATCACTCCAGCCCCGATGCCATTGTTCTTGTTCTCTTACTATGCTTTTTTATATCACACATATAAAGACTTCTTTATATAACAGGGATCTCTTGTAGATTGTGGAGCTGGTGAAAACTATACATATATGGGTGGATAAAGCTAAACTCTTATCTTTCAGCCTATGTTTTCCCTGACTGTGCATAATTGTCTCTTGTAGGCAGCAGCAGAAAGTCAGTTTTAGTTGACTTTTCTTTCTCTTTTATCTTTTTTTGTTTCTTTTTTGGTGAAGTTTGTATTTTACTGAGGTTTTGCTCTTTGATTTGTTGTTGTTGTTGCTGCTGTTGTTATTTTTTACTCAATCTTACCATTCTCTTATGGCCTGTAGAGTCTCATTTGATAGATCTTCTGAGAATGTTATAGGAGTTCCATTGTATGTAAGTTCCCTCTTTGATCTTGCCTCCATTCAATATTCTGTCTTTGGCTTTTGCACCTGATGTTACCTTGCACCAGAAGTACATGAAGAGGGACTGAGAAAATATACTATGGAATATATGAATTAAAAATCAACATATTTGAATGGAGTGCAAGTTTTGCAACTTTATTAAAGAAATAGTTTAATATGCTACAAATTAAAACACTGACTGGAAGCAACACAGGTTTTCTAAGCAATGTAACTTAAGTCCTATGTGTTGAATGATAACACTTCCCATATATGGTGCCAATCTGAAGCCCTTGTTTTACCTTGTGCTTTCTCAGTGTATCCAGGTCATGAGCAGCATCTTGTGACCCTAGAAAAAATAAATCACATCACTTTGAACGTAAAAATAGTCAATCTTTTAATTTAATTTTTTTCAACAATTCTGGTGGTAACTTTTGAAAAATACTGCCTGGAAAACAATTTGGAAATATACATTTAAAATGTTAATTTTATTTATACACTTGGACCTTAAAATTCCACTTCTAGGAATTCTAAACATCCTGAAGGTTGCAGAGATGAGGTCACAGGATACTTTAAAAAAACAAAACAAAACAAACAATCTTAATGGAAGAAAAGATGATATAATTAAGTGATGATATATACAACCAATAGAAATAAGAAATCTAGAAGACACTTTATGTCACAAAATATATTCTCAGTATATCAGATGATAAGAGTAGATTACAAAACATCAACCATTTTCCTAAAAGCAAAGAATATGCATATGCTTAAAAGTAAACAGGATAATTATGACACAATTACAGCAATGGGCTTACAAGGGATCTTATCTCTGCAAGCTGATTTGTTTCTGCACAGCCAAGACAGAACCAAATGACTCGTGCATGCAGGTACTGTCACCTCACTGGCATTTGTATTTTTTTAAAGAATAAAAATCTCTTTTCTTTTGTAACTTTTAGAAGGATATGAAAAGGAGACACCCACAAAACAATTCAGTGCCGGCTGGCTGGAGAACACCTAGTAGCTTAAGAGTCAATGATGTTAGTCATTAGAATTCCACCCACATCCCATGTACCACTAAATCTGAACCTTATACTAATTCTACCTATCAAAATCACTTTCCAGATATCACACATCTTGAAAATTACAAGTCAACAAGCCAGTTCACCGTGCAGAACTATTCAAATAAAGTGAGTTATACATAGAAAAAATATGACATTCATTACTGATATTTTCCAGGCAGTTTACTGTCCGGAATTAAGTCCCATTTTAACAAATGGTAGTTTTTTTACTTTATGTATCTGGTTAATCAGCCAGCTTCTGATATGTGATTTTAGGTAGCTAAAAGACCAGCTAGCTGGTTAGCCAACATTCTCTTCATAAGAAACACACTGGATTCTCAAGTTTACCTTCAACGTGGTTTTAAACACTAGCCTATTATAATATTTGTATTTGTTAAATTTGGGTTATGGGTATTATAACTATTTGCTATGTTTCTGTCTGTAATTTCTCCATACTTAAAATACTTCACCATTTAAAATTTTTTTTTCTTACACCAGAGAGATAGTATTGAGGGTAAAACACTTGTCTTGCATACAGTCGACCTAGGTGCAATCTCTAACACAATATAGTGTGTCCTGAATCCTACCATTAGTGATCCTTGAAAGCCAGAATACCAAAGAACTCATTAAAATAAAGCATACACTCCACCATAGAGTTAGATCCCCTGTCCCTTAGAACTTTCTGCTTTTATAAACCAAGATGTATTTCAGAAAATTTTAGTAATTTTTTTATCTTAAAATATAATTTTCAAAGTGCAGCCCACACAAAAAAATTCCCTGAATCAGATGTTTCATCTGTTAGATAATTCAAGGTCTTTTGAAATGCAGTCGATTTTCTTTTTTGAGATGTAAGATTTTTGAAATGCAAGTAGGCTTGTTTGATTTTGTAAACTAATTAAAAAACACAGTCTGAACTTTAAAGTTCCCCATCTTTTATTCACTACACGACACACAACCTAAGTGTCACGTACTAGGTTGAAGTTGTGCTCTTTAAAGGTGTAAAGGCAACACTTCCGAGCAACAGAACAGCAACCCCCAGCTCCAGAAAGAAGCCTAGTCTGTCAAGAAACTAGCTCTGCATCATTCATGTGAAGAACTAAGAGGTAGCCATTCACGGTTCCTCAGAAATAAAGTACTTGTAACTAAGCAGAAAAGTTCCATCTATGGGCTGGAGAGATAGTACAGTGGGTAGGGGGCTTGTTTTACATGAGCGTGATCCAGTTTCCATCCCTGACACCATATATGTACAGTCCCCTGCGCCTACCAGGAGTGATCACTGGGTGCAGAGCCAGGAATATGTCCTAAGACTGTCAGTTGTGATCCTCAAACAAAAACCAACATAAAACTAGGCCACCTCTCAGGAGGTGATAGCTGAAGAAAATACCCCATTCCCTGGTCCAGACAGAACACAAATGAATTCCTCCCAGAATCCCTCCCAGAACTCTCCTTCATTCCTAATAAGAATGCCAAACGAAATCTGAGAAAGCATCTCATGATCTCTTTCGATAAATCAAGATAACAAAAGAGCAAGCAAATTTCATAGAAACTCTAAAAAGGTAAATAATATTTTAAGATTTCTACCATAATTATTTTAAACCATGATTACCATAATTGAAGTCACCCAATTGGAAAAACAAACAAAAAAAACAGGCCTGGACTTATTTCCTTTGCTAGATATGGAGCACCACTCCTGGATGACTTCAAGCTAAGGATCCACCCAATTTTTCACTAGGTGACACTAGTTGGGGATACTAATTTAAAGAAAGCTCATGTAACAATTGATTGCATACACAATGCAGTGACAACTCATAATATTTCCAATTGATTTGTTTCAAAAACTTTTCCCTCATACTGGGATCAGTGGTGGTGGAGGATGGGCACTGATGGAGGGATGGGTACTTCATCATTGTATAACTGAAACCCAACACAAAAATTTGTAAGTCTACAACTGTACGTCATGGTGTTTCACTAATAAAAATTAAAAAAAAAAAAAACTTTTCCCTGAAGACAACCCTTTGAGAGAAGCAGATACTATTACTTCAGTCCTATAGATGGCACTTGTGGGAACAATAACTGATTTTCAATAGTTCATGGGGATTTTAGAGGCATAGCACGGAAACTTGGACTCTGTGGAGAGTCTAAATAGACAGAGAGCAAGTTGTCCATCAAACTTCCCCTTGAGGCTCACTTCTGCTATTTCCTGAGTGTGCTGCCTTGTGTAAATCATGCAATCAACCTGAAATGCCATCCCCACATGTGAAAAAGGTGCCGATAATCTCTACCTTTTAGAGTTCTTAAAAGTAGACTACACGGTCTGTGATGCACACAATACCTGGCTTTTCCGTTTGGTTTTTGTTTGGGCCACATCCAGAGTTGTTCAGAGCTTAGTCCCACTAGGTACTTCAAGGACATGCTATAACCTGGATGCCTGTTACCTGGCTTTTTCTACTTCCAATTCAGTGTACAGACAAGAATGGCTTGGCTGCATACTGACAAATCATTCATCTTTCCAAATCTATGTATAAATAAAAATTAACATACTTGAAAACACTGTTGGCTATTTCAGAAAACTAACCATATTTTTAACAACATAAGAGGTTTGCACTTTTATAATTTTGCTTAGGGTATTTGTGGATTCAATTCGTATGGAGAATCAGTATTTTCCATAGTGTACGAAATGATAAAACCTCAGGCTCATAACTATGACCGAAAAGCCATTTTCTAAATACTCCATAATAGATAGAAATGGTCAGAGGAAGCATGAATTACGTATGTTTTGTAAGGGCAGAACCTGCAAACAAGCATGTCACTCAAGGTTTTAGGGGATTTTGGTTTTTTCTTTTTTGCAGCCACAGACTAATTTTGCGGGGGAAGTCAGAGGGTGAGGTCCAGGTGCTGGGACTCCCTCAAGTGAAGCAGGTGCTCCAGCCCATTTGAGCTATCTCCCCTCACCCCCTCCAAATACTGACATTTTTGAGGGGAGGCCCACCCAGTGATGCTCAAGATGTGAGCTCAGGGTGCTACTCCAGACTTTATGGTGAAGGGTGGGAGGTTGTCATTCCGGTGTCCACACAATGCCACAGAACCTGGGCCTCCTGCACGCAACACAGTCATCAAGTTTTTTCTCCTGTTCCAGGTAGCAACTTTTAAAACTTTTAATCCTGTCGTTTGTGTATTTCCCTAACGAAAGCATTCTTTTTAACGAGCCCTTAAAAATAGGCAATGATGATATTCCCTAGCCCTGCTTATTCCGCAGATTCTAAAGAGTCACATCAATGTACCAATTTCCAGAAAACTTAGGAAAATAAGAAGCCTTTTCTAAAGTTCAAGTACCAGGAGCTACGTGCTGTGAGGACACAGTCCATGAAACGCAACTTCTTATGGATCTATTGTAGAGAAAACACATCTCTCACTAGCTAGTGGAAGCTCCATTTCATTCATTCATCATCCTGTTATTCGTGGATTGCCTCGAGCAGGCCCCAGTAACGTCTCTTTCATCCTAGTCCTGAGATTATATTCAAGGCTCTTTAGGAGAATGAGACCCATCATTGTTACTGGTATTTGGCATATTTGGTACGCCACGGGGAGTTTGCCAGACTCTGCCCTGTGGGCAGGCTACATTCGATAGCCTGCAAGTTTGTCCAAAGTGGAAGTTTCACATCCAAAAAAAAGGGGGGGGGGGGGAAGAATCGTTGCAACTTTCAGCAGACCAACTGCCCTACAGCCAGGACACTCGGGGGTCTGGGAGAAAGCAGAAACGTTAAATGGACTCAACGTTTTGGTGGCAAGTCGCTATACTCACCTAAGAGCAACCAGGGCTTAACCACGCCAACTTGCAAGTCCAAACTAAGGTCCTGGACGAACCCACAACCGCCCCCACCGCCGGGCTCTACTTCTTCCAGCACCTGTACGGTGGCATCTTCCCAGGTCTCTATCACTGTCCTTCCAGTCACCGTGGTCACCCGGGTGCACTGCTTCCGGAGCTGATTCCGGGAGAAGGCTCGGATTTCCTGGCTAAGGGAGTGCATGACATGAGCGACGTCGAGAGAGAAAACGAGCTCCGCCAAAGCGTAGGTCGGGGCAGAACCGCCCGTCCACGGCAGCACAGCGTCCAAGCGCTGTGACCGCGCCCTCTCGCCGGGCGCCAGTGACACCGGCTCGCCCAGACAGCCGCAATGTAAGGGCGCGTTTGATTGGCCGATGAGACGCAAGTTTCGATTGGAGGGCCGTTCCGGCTTCCGGTCAGCTGACTGCGATGCGCGTCACTTAGGCCTCAAGAGTGACTCTTCCTAGGTTCTGCTTCAGTCTTTAGCAATCATTCATTCGCGATGGTGGAGTCGAACATTTAGTTGGAGGAAATGCTGATATTTCCTGGCCGTGGTTGGGGCCGTGAAGGAGCGGGTGGGCCTCGACCTCGCTCCAGATTCATTGCCAAGGCCAGGGCTCTTGCCAGGCAGTGACACCTGAGTTTTCTGCTCTGCCGGTTCAGGCGAGCCGGGATAGTTGCTCGCTCGCTTGGCAGTTGCTCGCTTCTCTGCCTTTCACTTTCTGCTTGACTGCCGAGAGTTTAAAAGATTTCCTTTTGTCCCGCCTATATTTTCTCCATCAATGAACTGTCTGAGCCTTTAGCAGAATGCATGAGTGTTTCACAAAAATTCAGTGTGTAAGCAAACTTACAAAACGTATTGACTGTTGAGTGCTCTGATTTTACAAAGGGTGATTGTTTTCTTTTTTTAAATTTTATTTTATTTTATTTTTTTTAAAGTTGTAGATTTACAATTTTTTGTGCTTTGGTTTCAATTATACAATGATCAGATACCCATCCCTCCACCAGTGCCCATTTTCCACCACCATGGATAATATCCCTCCCACCCCCATCCCCCCATCCCCCCATCCCCCCTGTCTCTGTGGCAGGGCAATCCCCTGTGTTCTCTCTCTCCTTTTGGGTGTTGTGGTCTGCAAAAGAGGCATTGAGTGGCAAACAGGTTCAGTCCATAGTCTACTTTCGATATGCATCTCCCCTCCTGGGAGGATCCTCCAAACATCCTTTATTTGGTGCTCCCTTCTCTATCTGAACTGCCCTTTCCTCTAGGATACCCGGCTGGCCTCTAAGTTATGGAGTAATCCTCCTGGTGCTGATCTCAGCTATTCTTGGGTATTAATCTCATACTTTGTTACTTTATAGGGTGATTGTTTTCTTAAAGAGATTGTTTTCTTAAAGAGAATTCAGAATTCAGAATTCAGATTCCTTTAGAAAGTTTTATTTTTACTCTTAACATGCAGATGTTAAGTGAGCTTGGACGCAAAGTATAAACACATACTTTCCCTTAATAAAAACGTGTCTCCAGCATCACATATTAAAATTTTTGTTTTAATGTTCTGACATAAATTAAAATAGAAATATTTCCCCATTTCGAAAAACAGGTCCTCATGCAGACACTCCTCAAAACAAGGATCACGGTCATACCCCCAGGAACCAGCAACTTCATTATTTGTCATCCTACCCCAAGAGCAAGGGAAAAAATATCAATTTGGAAAACAGATTGGCTTTCCTATGTTTACTGCAGCACAGTTCACCGTATCCAAAATCTGGAATTACTCTAGATGTCTGAGAACAGATAACTAGATAAGAAAACAAAACAAAACAAAAACCTGGTTCATATACACAATACAATACTATTTAGCTATATGAAAAGATGAAATTTGCTGTTATGTAGATGGATCTGGAAGGTATCATGCTGATTTAAGTTAGTTCAAAGGTGAGGGACAGATACAGAATGATATCTTTCACATGCAGGATAAAAAGAAACATAGTAGGGGTGTAACAAAAACTCAAAGACAACACAAACTGAGAACTGGTCTTGTACAAAACTACCACCAGAGAGGGAAGGGAGTGTATTAAGTTCAGGGTGGACAATAGGACAATGATAAAGGGAAGTGGACACTCTGGGGGAGGGTGTGGTGAGGGATAGTGTTATGCATGAAGCCCTATCAGTAACAGTATTGTAAGTCACAGTGCCTAAAATAAAATAGAAAAAAACACTTCTTCCCGTTGAAAAGAGATATCATTCCAGGACAAAAAGAGAACTTAAAAACAAAGGACTAAAGAAATTATTTTGCACTGGGGACTTTGGTTGTGGGAATGTAGACTGGTGGAGAGATGGGCGTCAGAACACACTGTGTGACTGAAACCTAACTGTGATCAGCTTTGTAACTGTATTTTACAGTGACTTAATAAAAATTTTTTAAATTTAAAAACGAAAAAGTTGATTTTGCATCTTTAAACCATCACAGGTCACCAAAGCCAACTCTAACTGTGTATTATTCCCCATTTTATCATAAAACAGTAAAAAAATAAAACTATCAATTATTGAGGACTTGCTCAGCACTACACTTACAAGCCTTCTTTAAATTCTGAGTGTTAGCTATCAATTACTTTACACACATTGGATTTCATCTCACCAAAACCCATTATAGAGGCTGGAGCAATAGTGGGTAGGGCATTTGCCATGCACATGGCCAACCTGGTTTGATCCCTGGTGTCCTGCATGGTCCCCTGAATGCCAGGAGTAATTCCTGAGCACAGAGCCAGGAGTAACCCCTAAGAACTGTCAGGTGTGGCCCAAAATAAATAAAACAGACAACAACAAAACTCCTGAATGGGAAACTCTACTTCACTAAGCTTCCAAGAAAAACCAAATGCAGTAACTAACCTGTCATTATCCTTATACTGCAAAAAGCCTCCTATGAAGAAAAGTGAAAGAAACTTGTTAAAAAGCTACTACTACTATGGTCAGTGGAAGATGACAGTTGCATGAACTCAGCAGCACAGAGGGAGATAATGGTCAGTAGATGTATTGATAAATAAGAGCCAAAGTATAGAGAATTTATTCATGATTATTGTAGAAGAGGTTAAAATAATTCCAAAATTTTGGTATAAGGAACTAAAAAGTTGGCCAGAGAGATTGTATAGCAGGCACGGCATCGCATTTGTCTTGCATGTGCTCAACCTGGGTTCGATTGCTGACCTCCATATGGTTCTTCAAGCCCCACCAGGAATGATCCCTGTATGCAGAGCCAATAGTAAGCTCTGAGCAGAGCTGGATGTGGGGATAAAAGTAGAAAGGAAGAAAGGAAAGGAGGGAGAAACAAACTCGAAAGTAAAATTGCCATTCACCAAGAAAGGGATGTGAATTTTCAGTTTGGGAGCATGTTAAATTTAATATGCTTATTGGGGACTAAGTAATAAATACAGTGGGTAGGGAGTTTGCCCTGCATCCAGCCAATCCAGGTTTTGTCACTAGCACCCCATATGGCCCTCCCAGCCCTGCCATGTGTGTTCCATGAACCAATATCAGGAATAAGTCTTGAGCTCTGCTCCTTGCCCCCTCTCCCCCACAAATGTACTTGTTATTCAATCAAATAAAGACATGGGCAGACGTACATATGACTGTGTATGTCACAAAAGAGATCTCTGCTGGTGAAGTAAAACTTGGGTTTATTTATTTTGTTTGTATTTTGGGGAACAAAGGCATGCGAGTCCCGGGGCTGAGATCTCCAAGCCTGCTCCGATCAGGGCTGAACATCCTCTACTCAGATCCTTCATTTTCCAGTAGGCAGGGGTCACACCCACCAACAGCCCCCCCACCCCGCCCAGGCACTGTGTAATTCCATCAACGGCCAAGACCCAGAGACTATAAAACCCAGCTCCCGGAAGTGTGCGGCTGCAACTGTGGCCACGTGACATATTATTATCTCATTCTTGCTTTGGACAGCCTGGCAGGCTACCGAATGTAACCTGCCCACACGGCAGAGTCTGGCAAACTCCCCGTGGCGTACCCAATATGCCAAATACCAGTAACAATGATGGGTGTCATTCTCCTAACCCTGAAAGAGCCTTGAATATGACACTTTTTAAAATCTCAGGGCTAGGACGAAGGAGACATTACTGGTGCCTGCTCGAGGCAATCAACAAACAACAGGATGATCGTGATTATGATCATGTATTTTGGGACTACAGCCAGCAGTACTCAGGCCTTACTCCTGAGCTCCATGCTCAGAGGACCATATTGCAGTCCTGGGAATCAAAACATGGTGGCTATGTGCACAGCACTTGTCTTTACTCCCTTCGGCCCTAAATTTTCATTTTTACAGCTAAGACTCGATGAGGTCTTGCAGTAAAAACTGGTCGAGAAACCTGATGCATTATGCCCTGATTTAGGGGTAAGTAAAAAAGATACAGGAAAAAGAATCTAAGATGGAGAGATTGCTGAACTCGGAGGGGAAGAAAGAGTGTACTGAGAATACAAGCTAATAAATTGTTTCAAGCCAGAAGTCAATCAATCTCAACTAACAAAAAGAGAAGGCTTAAGTTGCAACATCAACTTAGTAAATTCTCAGACAAGCAAGGACTTAATGTCCCCATGGTGAGATATAGCAATTTTCACAAACTTTCTTTTACTGGAATGTTTTTAATCATTCCTTTGACATTGAATAGTAACAAACAATATAAAATAAATTATTGTGGGCCTGCTTGTGGGGGCAGGCATTAGGGATGGTTGGGAGAGAGTAAGATAATGGTGGAGGGAAGGTGACAGTGGTGGTGGGATTGGTGCTGGAAAATTGAATGCCTGTAACAAATCATCATGAAAACTTTGCAAAGCACAGTGTTTAAATAAAGTGGAGGGGGAAAAAAGAAATTGTTTCAAGGAGAACAACGTGATCAGCTGTGACATATACTACACTAAGGACAGTGTTGATGATGACTGAAAACTAATACTAGATTTAAATCTCCTTTAGCAGAACAGATGCTATGTCCCGACAGTATGAAAACATCATCTGTTTCACTCCTCATGACAAATCAGTGAGTAGATAATCATAGAAACTAAGTCTTTATAGAGCGGGACATTCAGTGTGGGGCTCAAGAACCAAGTTTTGATTACAATGTTTGGATTTTTTGTTAGGTTCTGGTAACAATAATTGTGTAACAGAGTCCAATCTTACTTAAAACCCTAAGTTTAGCATACAATACCACTGTGCAGTGTTTCTCTGTAAGG